CTCTCCAGTTTGTCTAATGCTTGGTCAAAAGATGTACTAAATTGCTTAGGACTTTTTTTTTTTTTTTTTTTTTTTTCCGCCTGAGAATACAATTGGCACTGAAAAAGCTAAGCCATTTCTGGAGTTTAAATTTCTAGTCTTAATTATAATAATATCAATAAAACTCTTACACAATAAAGAAAGGATGCAGGATGAGGAAGGAAAGCTTGAGTAGTTCAGGGGTATTTCTTGCTTTGGAGTGGTCAGCCTCTGGGAGAATTCTGTATTAGCTTTCAGGTTGCTGAAGAGGGTTTTAGATGTTTTTAAAATAGCTGTTAGTATCAATGATGGAAAGGTAAAAATATACTGGTCTTCAGATTAACCTACTTTGCAGATGTTGATTCCTAATATCTTTGAAAATACATAAGAAATTATGATAGGCAAAAAGACAGTTATATGAATGCTGTGTTTCTTAAAATATCCAAATTTTATAAGTAGGAGAAAAATGAATGACACCACAGAAATAAAATTAGGGCCAAGTCACAGTGTCAAGCATGTTATTTCTTCCAACCTTGAGATTTTTGTGGAAGGGTAAGGATCTTCCTGGTTAGAGGACACACTAAACAAAGCTTTGAATAGAAAATTGCAGTAGGTATTATAATATGGTGGTAATAGTTCCACAAACTGGTTTGAGATTATTTAAAAAAAAAATGAACCTATCTTGTGTATGAAGAATTCCAGTAAACTACATGTGACTAAACTACTGAAGGAAAACTAAACATAGTTTAAAAATAGTTAAAAAAATTTCATTCGTGCTTTTTTAATGCAAAAGATACAAAACACTATTTGGAATATAGAAGGTAACAGACATGTAGGTGGATGAGATCCAGCCATTACAGATTGAGTGTTAAGAGCCTGGTACTATTGGGTAGATTGTTTAGCCCACTCTGTTTTTATCATTTACTGAAAAGAAGCAAGCAGAAAATATTGGAATGCTGAAGAGAGCCCTTTCAGATCATCCTTCTACAGTTTAGTATTCAACCAATTTGTCTTGGGCTCCTAAATCTATTGAGCTGACCTAACATCTTACTGCTTCAGGTGCTATTGATCTCCTTGATAACTTTTTTTTTTTCCTGAACAGTTCCTTAGCTAACCCTTTCCTTATGCTAAGTAGTTGCTCCCACAGTGCTCATACTGAAGAGTCACCAACACTTGTTTCAGCCCATCACTTTTCTGTAGAACGATTTTCATTCAATATGGTTCAAACTCAGTTTGTTAAATATGTAAGTATCTGCAAGTTCACTGCTTTAGTTGCTGTAATAGTACTGCTTCAAACTGTAGGTTTTCGGAGGTTTAGGAATCTTTAGTACAAAATTTGCATAGCAAAACCTCAGTTGTGTTCTATTTCCTCTAGAATCTTACTGGGATACCAGTAAGAAAATAGATCTGTACAATATTGATACCACCTATAATTTGAAAGCAAAATCACAGGACTAAAAGTAAGAACAGTGTTAATAAACTGGTTTTCACTCTTTTGAAAATGGTGTCTAATTTCTATATATGACTATGGTTTTCATCTGGTGATTATACTGCAATCCAGAAAAGAGAAAAAGAATTTCTTAATTATTGAAAGTTATTTAAAATTTTAATTTTATTAAGTATTGACAAATTACTCATTTATGTTTTCTATTTGTCTTTAGATGAAAATTCACTGGTGTAATTCTCTTTGTGAGATGCAAAGGAGAACTAAATAAAAAGCAACAACTATTTCCTCTCCAAAAGATATTCCATTATAACCCTTTGCAAGGGGAGAGGGGAAATCAAAGGCTGCAGGAGAAATTTATGGTGGTTTTTAGAGAAAGTAAATTTGAGTTAGCTTTTAATTCTCTGGTAAATAAAATACATAGTTTTGACGTTCTGTCTACAAAAAGGGGGTTAGAATTTTTCTTTTCTAATTAATGTAGCTATCAGTTGGAATGCTGCAAAAGCACTGGGACTGTAGGGTTTGGGATGCTAACAGCATAGTACTTGAAACGATCAAGTTTCTAATTTTATTGCTGAGAATTTTTTTCTCTTTATTATCCTGTTTTGCAGAGTAATCAGTTCTGAGTATTGTCTCCACCTTCATATGTAATCATTAAATGTTATTTAACAGGAATAATTATCATATTTTAAAAGTAATTTCCAATGAATAGTGCTTGATATACAAGTTTAACTCATTGCAGCCTTTTTACCTCATCTTGCATATTTCCATACTGTGCTTTTCACATTAAAAAAAAAAAATAAAAAAAAAATCCGATGTTTAAGAGTTGACATGAAAGCATTTGGTTTGAACCAGCAGGGGAAAGTGAGTAAGCTGAGACAGGCAACTGTTCATTCAGGTGCTGCCTGATGTTTCTGTGGAAGAAAGGGCTCTCATAGAAACTCTCACCTGTACATTTCCCTGTGATCTCATTGCAAAACCGATTGCTAGTCCCATGGCCTTGCTTTGCCTTTTCTGCTTTTCTGTTGGTGGTTTGCAATCTCCTTCCCCTTTATCTCTCCATGAGTTCTAACAAAGAGAATAGAAAAGTGTTTTGCTCTTTCTATTCCTTGACCTTTCTTCCCAGGTTAGTAATGCAAAGTCTGTATTAGGGTTTTGTTGGTTGGTTGGTTTGGTTTTTTGGGTTTGGGGTTTTTTTGTTTGTTTTTTGGGGTTTTTTTGTGAATTAGCCTTGGGAACCAGAGCAGTGGAACCACCACACCAGTGTCATGGTTTGTGGCCCCCTATCATTGTATTCTGATTCCAACTGTTTTAATTCTGCAGGACTTGAGCACACACAGGAATGCCTAGCAGAGTAGCTGCACTGGCAGGTGTAATTCTGGAGATGAGAAAGATTAAATGAATTTGAAATAGATGAGAAAGGGAGATTAATTAAGCACTTGAGAAATTACTCTGTCTTCAGAAAAGAAATTTTTTTTTTGGTTACAGGTTCTCTTATCTCTAACCTGACGTTTCCTGCAACGCAAGAATATAAATGATAACAACACAAATTTATAAAAAATATTACTCCTTAAGAAAAATAAATAAAAATTTTTTTTTTGGATAAAATATATTTTCTTGATAAAATTTTAATTGCAGCCTTGGTAAGTTTAAGAAGAATATTAAGGAATTTGTTTCTTTCAAAATAAAGAAAAAACTTTGGAAAGTAAGTTGGTGGCTAGGTTTTAATTTCTGCGCTGGCTGGATATTGCCAGAGGAGAGCTGGGGGCAGGGTGTACTTGGGGCAGGGTTTGATACACTTGCATTTCAGTACAGTGTGCGTGTTCACACCCACCGAAATCACAGTGCTCCTGCTAATGGTCAGCGCTGCAGGCTTGGGAAAGAGGCCATTCAGCGCTGGCAGTGGCAGTGCCCCATGCATGTTGGGCAGCCCAGCTCCCCCACAGTGGTTCATCGCCGGGCACCTCCTGCTGAGTGGCTGCTGCTCCCTTTTCATGGTTTTACATCGGGGTGGTTAGCAGGGACCTCAATGATCCTGTCACCCCCAGCCAGTCTCTGACTTTTTCCACATCTAAAGCCATACTGGCAGACAGCTTGTGACTGCCTTCTAGTCTCCCACCCCAAAGGCATTGCGAGGATGTCAAGTTGGTTGCAGTTAATCTGTGCTTCTCTCTGTGTGTACCTACATTAGTAGTGTGGGCAGGTGTTGTTCAGACCTGGTTTTATCCGAGCACTGCTTTCAAGCGGGGTGTACTCCATGACTTTTGACATGCCGCATTTTTCTGTGTGTAAGATGGGATAATGCCTGTTTTCATTCAGAGAGTATTTCCTTCAGAAATACATTTTTAATGCATTTTCACCTATGCAGTACAGTGGCTGTCTCCTAGCAGTGTGTAAGGAGTGGGTGTGCATAGCACAACAGGACTCTTGGCGTAGTCTCTCAGCATCACCACCCACTGCTATGAATAGACAGAAACTTTGTAACTGGTGGTGGTCATCTAAAAGCTGTGTCTGGTGTTGACAAGAGGTATGCGAATGCCTCTGATTTTCCTTTTAGAAAGCAAAATGTTCTTATTTCACGTTTTAGTCGTGATGAGCTGTTTCATCATGAAACAGAATTGTGTTTAATTTGGTGACATCTCTAACATACATTAGGTCTGAAATGACTGGTTAAACTTTAATTTTCTAAGACGCTAACTGGTGTCTTGTAAATGAGATTTACTGTAAATCCTCCATGCTTCATCATGCTAGTTTTATAGGAATAATTCCAGTACATTTGGTTCGTGCTAGAATTGCAATTATTAATAACCATTGAATGTCTGGTGTTAGCACCACATTACTAGCTGATACTGATAACTTTGGGGAATGTTAAGTAATCAGCAGTTATTATGTACTTCAGAAAATATAAGTTTCTTACAGCTGTCTTTTTTTTCAGTTGCGTTTTCTCTGTGGAAATTTTCAGCTTTTGTATTAAAAAAAAAAAAAAGCTTCAAATAATTTTAATTCCATATGGATGGGGCAACATATTTGGACTTTCAATTAAAAAAAAAAAAAAAAAAAAAAAAAAAAAAAAAAAAAAGTGATGCTAACATGGTGGTAGGCACAAACCCTGGCTAATCCTTTAATACAGTAGAGCAATGAAGAAAGCATTAGAAAAAATGAATTAACTGTTGAAATATTTGTGATTCACAGTATGGTGAAAAGATAGAAAATTGAACTAATGTGAAGGCAATAGATCTGCTTTTAATATATTTATATATATTTAATATCATTGCTTTTGTGGTTTTGTTTTGTTTTGTTTTTGTTTTTCTTCCTTGTTGTCTAAAGATGTTATTTCTATGCCTCACCATAGTATTTTTGTGAGGGGATTTCATGCTCAGAGATACTTATTAGGTGTTATGAGAAAAAAATTTAAGTGCTAATACCACTGTTACTTTGATTTTTACTTCCTCTGAAAGAGTTTTATTTAGTAAAATACCCTCTCCCTTGGTTCTTTGAATTCTGACATGTGTGGGGGTTTTTTGTTTTTGTTTCCCAGCAGCTAAAGAGGCAGTAGGTTTGATTTGGCAAGTCATTTGGAAAAGGAGGAGTGCAGAAGTGCCCTGTAACTGCTGAACAGTAAGTGCCTGTTTTACCTGCTATTTTAGCTGCAGAAGTAAGTAGGATACGCAGATGGATTGTTATGAAACTTTTATAATACTGAGAAGCATATAAAAATGTGCACGCATGGAAGTCTAACTATTCTGAAGCTGAAATACTTTTTTTTTTTTAAAAAAAAAAAAAAAAAAAAAAAAAAAAAAAAAAAA